GTAAATTTTAACTTTTAAATTTTAATTTTCTATTCATACTAGTTAAAATATTTTGTTAACTTTATCAATTAATTACCTTGGATCATTCTTGGTGACTTCAACGATATATATGGACAATGTTTCTTTTTTTTTTAAAAAAAAAAAAAAAGATTGCTACCTCTTCGGTTAAAAGTTTGACACGCAGTACGTCTAGTAAATATTCGGTTTTTGGTGCTTCTGACTTAAACCGTGTTGGAGCTCCATCGGAACCACCCAGTCCTTTTGAAGGCCCAAAGAGAGTATTGTTTCGTTCTTTTCTTTTCATAGAGCCTTTTTGGGATGAATATAAGTCTTTCACTAAAGGGTTTGAAGACTGGTTAGTAGAGGGGTTATTTGAATTTCCGAGGAAAACAGAATCTGGGTAACATTTTCATTATGTTCTCTCCATTTTTTTCATCATTAGCTTATCTTTTGTTTATACTATTTATTTGGTCTTTGTTTTTTTTTTTCAGTTTTGTTTATTACAACAAGCAGTGTTCCAAATTAAATAATGCATTTGATTTCAACGTTGCGACTATTGATGAAAAAGATTGGTTCTTAAGGCTTGACATGTGTAAGAAATTTCTGGATTTGACGGTATGTTCTAAACATGTCCTTATTTTTATATTTATGTCTTTTCTCTTTTTTGTTATTCAAATACTTCCATACTATATTTAATATTATGTGAGTTTATTGATCTTTCATGCAGAAACCTGTTTATTTATCTTTGTTGTTTTTTTTATTAATTTTAGGTACATCTGCTGTTTTTATCATTTTTTCTTTGTTCATTTGTAATTTTATTTTAAGTTTATAATATATATATATTTTTTTTTTGCAGCACATTGACGTCATTTTCTATTATCTGCGAAAGATGGCATTTCATTCAGTGCCTGTTGTTGTTGAGAGTGTTACTACTTCAGACCTTAATTTCCATCAAAGTATGAGGAATACGTATGCTAAGTATCTTTCTTCTAAAGACCGTCGCCATGCTTTTCATTCACACAATGATATTGTTGATTATATGTCTGGTTATAAAATTATTTGTGGGAGGAATTGGACTGTTGTTGATCATGTGTTAATGCCTATTCATACTAAGATTTATGGGGTGGAAAATTGGATTCTCGGTAGACTTTCTATTAAAGAAAGGATCCTTTTTATTTACAATAGCTTAAGGTCACCAGACATTGATGCTTTTATCCAGAAGGACGTGGAGTGCTATTCTGTTTTGCTTCCTTGCTTTCTTTATTTGGTTGGTATGCTAGACACAAGGCCAGAATTGTATTCTGGTGATGGCGCTTATGTGGGTAAACAACTTACGGATCCGCTTGAGGTTGTCTTTGTTGATGACTTGCCTACTCAGGAAAAAGGGTAATTTATTTCTTATTATTTTAATTATTGTTTTTAATGAGTTTTTTTATTATGTATTTGTTGTTTTTTTAATTAACTTCACTTATATACTATCTTTTTTTAAAGTGAGTTTTTTATTTTTCTTTCTTTTTCTTGTCAGTGATTGTGGTTTATTTGTGGATGCATTTGCTGAGTTTTTTATGAGGGGATTGAATATTCCAACTGAATGGGATGTGGAGTACATGCGGAATCGTTATTCGTATTTGCTATATGAGCATGGATGCAAGAAGATGGCAAATGGATATGAAAGTGAAGATGAATCTCCAGGAGTTATGCCCCTGGAATCTAGGAAGTCGGTTCAATTTTCTTGGCTTCATTTGTAGTTTATATTAAATGTTATGTTCTTAAGAAGACTTGTTTTTTTGTTTTTTTCTTTTCTTTTTGGTTGTACTTTCATTTTTTTTTTTAACATTTATGATGTACTTGGTGCTGACATCATAGATTAGGATTTTGTTCTTTTAGAATGTTGCCTAATGTTAAAAATTATGTTCTTTCACACAATGGTTCCATTTGAATTACTCATTTCTGTGGATGTTCTTTTCACGAATTTGGAATTACTCTCTCTTTTTTTTTTTTATTACCAAATTTGAAATCATTTCATTGTTTAAACTAAATAACCGATTTAATGTCGTTTGTACTCCACATTATTTTAGGATTGTACTATATACAAACTCTAACTGATCAGACTACCAAATTATTTTATTAGGATTGTTCCAAATGAATTTTATCATAATATGATCTGCCCATTTTATCACTGCGATGGATCCTTTTTATATTAATTGCTGCTACTATTTAAAGTACGTTTCTTTCTCATATTGTTCAGTTTATCTGATAATTTATGCACAATG